TGAGCTTGCTGCTGTGTATACGTGTGTGTGTATAAATTTCACACTAATTTGCAAGAATCTCCACATACACAACATACATACAACCTAAATGTATACTATGCACTTAGCTTTAAATTTTAACGTTTTCGCAGCTCCCTATGTTTATCTTCATCTAAAGCAGGGATCACAAGATTTGTACATTTTAACAGTTACAGAGTGTTGTTGTTTGAAAGTTGTTATTGAGCTAAACTCATTATTTCTAGACAACACCACTCTGTGACTGCCAAAATGTACAAATCTGTACAAATGTGCAAATAGTGCGATCCCTGCTTAACAGCTTCTTTACAGCGTGTTCACTACTGCTAGTGATAGCAGAACGTAATTTACCGGCGCAACTATGTAGGATAGTTTAGGCAGTGGTATGATAGATTCTATTGTGAAAATACCGGTAATTAGTTTGAATAAATCAGCTGTTAACCTTGTGATATTTCTTTATGAATTTCTGTAGAGCACCTACCGGGTGTGTGGTTTGTACTTGAGCTGAATGCTTAAATTAAATAACACACCGATTTGTTTCTGATTATGCTCCTAATTCGTGACACATTGGGCGCGTTCATATTGTCTAACCGTAGACTGTTTGTCCTAGAAACGCACGGTCTAGTATTCCCGCTCAGTTCAACAGTTGCCAACTCTCCGCCATTTTTTCCATCGTACAATTTTTTCGCTACCTAGGGGCTACTCTGTAATGCGATGTGACAGAGAAATGCGATGCGATAGACAATCGCCACAGCGTATTACTTATGATGTATTTGCCTATCGCATCGCATTGCTCTTTCGTATCGCATTACAGAGTAGCCCCCAATAACTCAACGTGTTTTGCTCAGCCTAAACAGATGATCGAAAAGATTTACGCCGCTTATATTAAATGTACTATGCTCATAAATAGAGAGTCAGCCCTTAATAAAAATATAATGTCCTTGTTATATAAAATAAAATTAAAAAGTTCAAAATAAAATAATGTAAAAAAAAATATTTTTTTAAAAACAAGCTTTTACTTAACATGTACAATCAAAGGAATAAAATAAAGTACTGTAACAAAAGATTTTTAGCAAGAAAATTTTGTCAAAACTACACTGAAATGAATAAAATAAAATAAGTTAAGGTCTCGTTAAAGTTACTAAAATCCATTTAGTGCAAGTAGTGACTCAAACTCTAATGAAAATTACTAATAATTTGTACTAATTTACTTCGTTTTTAAAAAACGTTTTTGTCGGTGGATTCAGCGTACATGCATAATTGGTTAAGTATGCATATGTATGTATGCAGATATTTAAATGCCAGTTTGCTATTCGCGCGACAAACTTTTTTAAAAACGAAGTAAATTAGTACAAATCGTTACTAATTTTCATTAGAGTTTGAGTAACTCCTTTCACTAAATGGCTTTTAGTAACTTTAACGAGACCTTAACTTATTTTATTTTATGCATTTTAGTGCAGTTTTGACAAAATTTTCTTGCAAAAAATCTTTTGTTTCACTACTTTATTTTATTCCTTTGATTGTACATGTTAAATAAAAGCTTGTTTTTAAAAAATATTTTTTTACATTATTTACTGGTTACTGAACCTAAATATTCAAGTCTCACTCGAGAATAAGCTCGTCTATATTCATCTGTTTTAAAGCAGGTATGGACATATGGAAAACAATTATGGAGCGCTGAAGCAACCTCTAGTATAGAAAAAGATACTCCCAAGGTTCCAATTAAAAAATCTTATTATGATTGTGAACGCCCGTTTTATGTCACAAACAACCAAATACACCGTGGCCGTGATCTCTACTTGTGATTCTGAAATAAAAAAGTACGCCTTGGCGCACCACTAAAAAATTCACGATCACGCAAATCTTCTTATTTCTACACTCATTATCATTACTATTATTATTATTATTATTATCAAATTGTGCAAGGCCGTCTGGCAAAAGAGCAGATGAGACTGAGATTGACTGCCAGGCCACTTGCTCACTTCCTCAAATTTATGATGTTCTCATTTTTTTTCCTATGCATCTTTTTATTAAGTACTCTAAAATGTGTGTTCCATTTACTCATGTACACATGGTACACATGTGAAGAATATTTCTGCTGGTATATTTGCTGTGCTTTATATGTATGTTAAATTAAAATCAGGGACGTGAACCGGATGAAAAATTTGGTCCGTTCGGTTCAGCGGTTCGAACCGTTTTTGCACTTATGGATTGGTTCGACAAAGTGGCTTTTTTAGTCTTTGAACCGGGGTTTTGGTTCGCTTCAACGGTTCGGAAATAAAAAAAAATTAACGCGCAAGTCTAAGTGTAAAGTGTCAAGTGAAACAACGCGCAAGGTTAAATTTCAAGTGTATGTTAAATGAGATGAGTTTACTTTACATTTGATATTGCCACATGGTAAACAAACATGGTATGTATTACCATATTTAACGAAAAGAAACAAAAGCGTGTAAATTTATCTATTGAAAATTGGTTTAAACGAACCTTTAAACCTTTATGAAAAGTGGTTCGGTTTTCGGTTCGGATCAAACATTTGTGGAAAATTTCGGTTCGGTTAATGGTTCAGTTAATTAATAGAAAAAATCGGTTTTCCGGTTCAAAACCGGTTCACGTCCCTGATTAAAATACATCTTATATTCAGTGTTGCCCTTTTGATACATATGTATCCAAATGGATACATTTTCGCCTTAAATTTTGAGGGATATTTCTTTTTTCCTCAGTGTAAATTTGCTTTGTTTTTCCATAATTATTCGACAGTTGAAGGAAGTTTTTTTTTATGTACGAGATATTATAAAATTTAATTTTTAACAGTTGGCTGCTCATTCTTGTTACTTTGAAAAATTTAATTTTTAGCTACATGAACGTACATTTAATAACACCAAGTAGTTTGCAAATTTTAAAAAGTTTTCCGACCTGTAGTATTTAACTGTAATGTCGAGATATTTTTCTTTAAAAAATGGTGATGTTTCCACAATTTCCCGGGTCCCGCAAATCAACTTTGACATCCCTAGCAACCCTTCTCCTAACATTTAAAGGAAAGTGACAACCATGCCGATAACTAATTTTCAACGATAACTTGACTGTAATGAAAATAGGGAAGAATATCATGAAATAAGGTACAATTGTTGTTCTATATAACTGCTTAAGAGCTTATAACTTGCAATTAGTTACAGCTTTTTTGACAGATATCCCATTGAAAATTATATCAAAAAGCTGCAATTAACTTTTTAGTCGTCTTTATTTTGACTATAACTACGGGCCTTTGTTTCCCACATCCGTGTCTAAGAATGGGAAAATACTGACTACATGTTAATAAGTTTTTTAAGGGCCCGAGTTCCTCTTCCATAGATGCACTGTACAGAAATTCCCGCTCTTTCGGCCGAGTGGCAACACTGCTTATATCTTTTTCTAGCACATCGAAATTTTTTTTATTGCTGACATTTATATTTTAGGATGATTGGTAATTTGCAGGAAAAGCTAAAAATTTATTAATTTAGAATTGAATTTTTACTTAAAATCCAACAGTATTAGTTAAAAATACCAATACCACTGTGCGAGAATTTTCTGACAGTTCAAGCCAGCCCGGACCTTGCTAATATTTTCTGAAAGTATATATATCCAGTAATAAAACACTCGATGGATTTTCAAAAGTTAGCTCGTATTTTTATTTTATGGCCTCTAAAGTTTTCATGTCCCAGCCTAAGTAGTTTTCAAAAAAGTGGAAAAAATGGTTAAAATACATAAATGTCTGAGCGAAATTAAAGGTTAAGACATATATGGTAAAATTTCATGGGAAATATTTTCGTAGAATATTTTAACCCATTCGCTCCCGCCTGAAAGGGTAGTTTTGACCATTACTTCAAGAAATGCCACAAAAAGTAAATTTGGAAGTTCGTTAGAGGATTGATATATTCTAGAAAATTATTCTTCTGAAAATTTGACTAGGGGTCTTCTCAAGTAAACGCTTTATACCACCAACGTAAAAGTTTCTAAAAAATTTAAATAAATTAGTTAATTTTTGGCTTTTAATGCAAATTGCTTAAAGTCCTAAAATATACATGTCATAAATAAATAAAAAAATATCGACGTGCTAGAAAAAATCCAAAGATGCATTTTAATTTAACAGACCTAGATTTAAAAAAAAAACACAATTTTCGGAGCGGGGGAACAAAATTTAAATTTCGCAGGCCTGTGTTATCAACGCCATATGTAAAAAGGGAATGTATGTATATTGTAAACGGGTGCTAGGAAACTCGCATACAAATTGAGTCCTAAAGTATAACATTTATACTTTTATAACTTGTTTATAATTATTGTTATTGTTATATTATATTTATTGCTTTTTTTTAATATGTCTTATGCTTGAAATACAATACCGGCGAACGGCAACCTTCGCCGAATCGGGCGGTGCTGTCGTTCATAGTTCGCTCAGCTATTTCGTGTACTTAAACAGAATTAGAGCGGTAGCGAAAACAGCTGATACCATTTGGTCACCTTTATAATTTGGGTGAACATATTTAGAAAAAACTAAACCATATTTAGTAATGAGGAAATGATAACAAATATAAATGTAAAACAAAGAGAAGTTATTATAAATTATTTTATTTGAAGCCAGATTTAACGAATCCACTACTATATTTTTCAAACAACAAAAATAATTCGTGATTATGTTGTTTTATTCTTAAACTTTGAAAGCAAAAAATAAATACGGCCACCGTTGGCACGTACAGATGCCATCGCCCAGCAGAGCGATAGAAATTAATCTATCGCCATGAAACGCCGCCGAGCGAACTTCGCATTTCGCTTTGGCTGTGTTCAATTTCATATGCTTGCGGGTGTTCTAATTTTGACAGCGCGAATTTCGCTGTGTTGAGTTCTCCGTTCGCCGGCATTGTATTTCACCTATTATTTATTTTTTTAGATAAAACCAAACCATACTGGGAATTAATGCACCTCTTTTTCAAATTATTTACTTTCATTTTCAGGCGCTAGATGCTCAACATAGGAAAGCTGTAGCAGATATGATACATGAGTTAAGTGATCAGGCACAGTTTATTACAACAACATTTAGACCAGAGCTTTTAGAAAATGCTCATAAATTTTATGGGGTTCGTTTCAGAAACAAAGTCAGTCATATTGATTGTGTTACCAAGGAACAAGCGAAAGACTTTGTCGAGGATGATAACACACATGCCTAGATGTAATAAATTGGACTTAAATACATAATAACCGTCATATATCAAAAATCATGGGGTTTTAATGTATACATTAAAGGGGAATTAAAGGCTACACAGTGGTCCGCAAGCAGTGTTAGGTATTATTAAAATGTAGCCAATTGCAACCTTCAGGAAGTGGGTCCAACTTACTCCCCGTTTTCAAAATTTCAAGGTTGAAAATCGTAGCTGCTCACCTTTTCGATTGGGGCATATCTCAAGTAAATTGTACTTGAGCGAGGGTGCCCAGATAGCTTGAATATAAGATACTGGATACAATTCGAGGGTAATAAATGTAGCCACATGAAACATTCTGAAAGTTGTTCTCAATCGACCCTAAATTCCGAATTTTTAAGGCACGGAATCGTAGCTGATCCCCTTATCCATTGGCACATATGTATGTATCTCACGGATGTTACTAGCAAATATGCACCAGACAAGATGGCCAGATGAAGAAAATATCAAAGCACTAGCTACAGCTTTGCGGATAAGAATGATCCTTATACCTGGTTCAGTAAAATAGGAATGTCAATGTCAAAAAATGTATATATAAATCATCCTGAATTGTGTTCATTTTATGACGTTCCCAAGTTTGCATGAATTGATGATGTATTGATTATCCACTTTGCTCGGACCAATAACCCAATCCGTTATTATTTTGTATGAGCTGCAGACACTCTTTAACACGAGATTCAAGAACATGAATCTTCAAGGGTACATAAATGTCTTCTATTACATTCAGAGCATCCAAATCTTTTTCCAAATCACGCAAAGGCAAAGAGATATTTATATCAACTCTTTCGGCGTATTTCACCTTTGATTTATTGTTTTGAGATTTCGCCAACTATTGGAGTTTTCTAAAACCACATACTATTTCGTCTTATATGAGCATGTAGCATTGAAATTTTCTTGAAATATGTGTACATTTATTATTCCCAAATTTGTATCCAGTATTTGATATTTAGTCTATCTGGGCACCCTCGCTAAAAAAGCACAATTTCCTTGAGATATGCCCCAATCGGAAAGGAAAACAGCTACGATTTCAAACCTTGAAACTTTGAAATCTGGCATTAATTTGGACCCAATTCCTGAAGATTTCACTTGGCTACATTTTAATAATACCTAACACTGCTAGAGGACCACTGTGTGCAAACAGTTTTTGAGATCATATTTGACCTTGGGCATTTACTGTGCTACGAACGTTCAGTTTGGACATATGTATGTCCTTCGTCATAAAAACACTAGTAGGGTTTATCTATCGAATATAACCCAATTATATCTCTTTGTTTTTACGAAGTCATGTCTAAAAAACTAATACGGCTATGTAGAGTGTTGTTGGGTACAACATTCAGCTCTACTCAAATTTGGGAAAGACCTCTCCGCACCATTTGAGACGAAATGAGGTTTTAGAAAAGGCGATTCACTCTCTATAGAGGCTGTAAGCCTGGAAATGAAGCGAAGAATAACTTTTTCCAATAGGTGCTACTTTGGGCTTGGTAGGTAATTGAGAAGCACAGCCTTTTCTCGAAGTACAAAAATTATGCTCTACAAATCTCTCATCATGCCAGTCCTTTTATATGGCACAGAAACATGGACGATGTTGAACAAATATGATTAGGCTTTGGGAGTTTTCGAAGAACTATTCCACTATTCTATTCTATGGATCTGTTCGCTTGGGCAGCGAGCACCAAAAAAGATCGAATGACGAACTGTACGAGCTTTTTAACGACGTGGACATAGTTAAGCGCATAAAAATACAACGATTATGCTGAAGGTTTTCAAGAGAACTATTCTACGCAAGGTATATGGACCTGTTCATGTGGGCGACGAGTACCCAAGAAGATGGAAAGACAAACTGTACGAGCTTTTCAACGAAATGAATGTAGGCTTGTTGTACGCATGGATGACAAAGCTCCAGTGACAAAAAAACCTTTTTAAAGTACAACTTACATTCTCACATAAAACATAATCAGGCCGATTCTAAACAGAAACTTACTGGGAGTTTTCTCTCCTTTACCTTTCCTCCTATCTTGAATAAAAATTCCCTTAGGATTTTTTATATTAAATGGCTGGGTTGAGTTGTCAAAAAAGTGTCAAACAGCTCTTTCGAAGTTCGAATTTCCTCCCCCCAAATTTTCGGGGAAAATGCTACTCCCTGATTGTTAATTATTAGAGGATTTCTCTCTCGGGAGAAACAAATTCCCGGAGAACAAACTCCGTGGGAGTATTCAGAATTGGGCTGAATATAATAACTTAACTTACATAATAAATAATCCCCGCCGCTGTGGCTGATTAGTTAGAGGTGCGTACTTCCATTCCGTAGCAGTTTTTCGCTTGATTTTTTAATTAATTAGTTAATTCGATTAAATTCAATCCGATTACATGATTAATTTTAATCGGATTAAACAGTTAATCTAACCGCGTTTAAAAATATTTATTTTTAATCTTTAACCCTTAACTTGATTAAGTAGGTTTGGTGATTAATTAATTTATGCGGGAATTTTCCTGTGCACAATCGGGTGTGGCTAAGTCGGTTTTCCTCATCAATCTAAGCAATTTAGTTTTCATTTTCATTAAGATGTAGCCCAACAGACGTTATGGAAACTAGGTTTTAAAATCCCTCTGCACATGTGCGATGGGTTGTAAAAATTCCCAGCTTTTGTGTTACTATAACTAGGGCTCGGAATCTCGTGCAAATGCCTGTTTTTACTGGGCATCTTCAAATGGAAATGGTTAAGTTATCTTTACGAATCATTAAATTTCCTTTAAAACGGCATTCAATCGTTAGTGCATATTTTTGCATATTTTGCAAAATACCTGTTTTTGGATATTTACTGCGCACATTTAAGTATATTTTACCTTAAATGCATATGCTTTTTGTATATTTTTGACTTTTTTGATTTACAACCATTTAAATTTAGTGCGAAATCTTTTGACAAAAACATTATCTATAATTTTTTCCCAAATATTCTTCTGAATATCTTCTCAAATAGACAAGCGGCTTCTACCTCTGTTAGATCTCAACTATTGGAGGACTGTAGGAGAGAGCTGGCCTATATCTCGGGTCACCCTAATATGGGCCTTGGGACATAGGGACATTTACGGAAACGAGGAAGCGGACGAGCTAGCAAGGTGCGGCTCCGCACTGAATGTGTTTAACGTAAAAATTACCGAAATTTATCACTTGAAGGCCAAGCAGAGGTGTAACCGTACAGGATCGTACAGGATTACCCGGCAGTTCTAGGTGTCCTACGATCCACTTAAAACCAAAGCTCTCTTAGGAATGAGCAAAGAACATACCACAAGATACTGCAGTGAGCACAGGGTACTGGCCCGTTAGGGTACATGCCGAAAGGATTGGATTGCCCTTCCACAGGTTCAGTCGCAGTTGCGTTGCTCCGCGCTCAAAAAATACAGTCGAACACTTCCTGTGCGAGTGTCCAGCCCTAATTCTCTCTGTATGGCGTACTGAAATTCATTAAAGCCAAATGGCAGTTGGTTATACGAGTTGTGGAATCAAAATGGCAAACTTGCTAATTGCTTACCAACACGAAAACCAACCAAACAGTCATCTGAACCACTATTAAACTGTCACTGGCTCTATTTACACAAGATTGTAACTATCTGCTTGATTATAAACTACCCTGTTGGGGACTCAACTAACTATAAATGCACTATAAGCTCACTATTTTTCAACTAGTGGTGACTACGCCTCGACTAATTTACATTGCTTTCAACTGGCTACTTTTACATGATGATGTCATTCCCACGGCAGCCGATTCTACGCGTACCGGAATGAGTCGGGTTTTACCCGACCGAGGGCTGTTTTTTCGGCGATCAAACCCCGTTTAGGTCGGCGAAATCCATCAAACGTTGCTCGATTCTAGGGCTACATCTGCTCCGTACCCTTCTGCTCAGGGCTGGTATAGAGTCTAACCCAGGGCCAGAAATTTTCACCTGCTGCCAGAGACGATTGCATACAAACTCCACCTCGATCAGGTGCAATGCCTGTGACCGGTGGAGTCACCTCCGTAACTGCTCGGGCCTACGTACGCACCGGCAATGGACCACGTCATTCGTGGCCCCATGCTGTGCGAACCGGACCGCCTCCACGGCAAACCACCTCCACAATCAACACACCCACACCCCAATACAACATAATCAACACACCCACACACCGCCGCCGGCAACTCCTAGTCCCTCCGACAATCTGCTCTGTTTGTCAGTCCAGAATATACCGTAACGTGACATCAGTCAAGTGTAACTCCTGCCACGGCTGGTGCCACTTTAGGGCATGCTCAGGACTTCGCAACACGCGAGATTGGACGAGTGACTATGTGGCCCCTGCTGTGCTGCCCAGTCGCATCCCTCCCCCGCGACGCCGCCAACCACCACCACAAAGCAGCACCCCCTTTTGCAGCACGTACAGCAGGGAGCCGGCAGGCAACACAACTCTTTAACACCACACATCACAATCGGTCTCCCGAGGCACATAAAGGTGCTACAATTTAACTGTAACGGAGTCCAGAGCAAGATCGAAGAGATAACTGTCTTTATGGGAAGGCATGGAATATTCATAGCTGCGGTCCAAGAGACGAAGTTGCACGGCAATTCAACCCTGTCAATAGGTGCGCTACTCAGAGGTGAAAACCGTATGGTAGTTGCTGACTTTAACGCGCAACACGATCTTTGGCACTCAAGCCTGTCAAATGATCGTATGGGAATACATCTGGCTGAGCAGCTAGACGATTCGACATTCTGCACTATGAACGACGACGCGCCCACCAGGATTATGGGCAGCTGCTGCAGCTCGCCAGATCTAACAATTTTCAGCGCTGGTATGATAAACAGCGTATCATGGCGACCTAAGCTGACTGGAAAGGCTTCGCGGATGTTACTGAAGACGCTTTCACTGCACTGCCCATACCATCCGACGTTCATGTAGGTGAACGTAAATTCCGCAGGGTTGTCACTGCTGCTGCAGCTCGCTTCATCCCAGCAGGATGTATTAAGGATCCACGTCCGAACTTTCC